TATTCATTTATTATTCATAGATGATAATAGTTAAATACTATAAAATATTGTTGACAATTGGACTGGATTCTAGAATTGTGAATCATCATGTAAGGCAGCTGAAACAAGAAGTTTGGATCGACCAACATTTAGTCCACCGTCTCCACCAAATCCATCTGCACCACCATTAAAACCATCAAATTGCAGGCGATGCAATAAAGCAGTCCTATACGTTGCTATTGCGCAAGCATTTGTTTCAGGTCGGATAGATATTTTGACCAATACAATTTTTTTTTAAACTGTTGTCACTGAAAGGAAAAAAAAATTAGTTCAAAACTCTTTTTACTTGTTTATGCAACTATAATTCTTGAACTAAATCGTTTTGCTAAGCTTGATTAACATGTAAAACTCCTTCTGCTAATTAGTCCATTTTAGTAATCCTTTTGAGCGGCGGTATTTGGTGCCATAATACTGCATCACATTATTGTCCCTACAAGACATCGTTATGGACACCAATAATATTTTTGATAAGTGCTGGAATCGGAATGACTACAGCAAAAACATCGTTTCCACATTTTTATATAGCTCATCTAGTCCTATCACTAGTTGCTATTATAACTGTACTGGCTGGAGGCATTCTCTCATACAGGTTTTCATGTTATTTATTCATTTATTTCAGTTATATCAGTGGATAAAACTTGGACTAGCAAAACTTTATGCCAGACAATAAATCCATAATAAATTGGCAAATATCTTGATACTGTTAATTTGGGACATGTAAATGAAAGACATGATGCTAAGCGATCCGTTGCAGGAATTGGTCGTTAATGGGAAAAGATACATTCTCGATTGAAAGTCGTACAAAAGACTTCTGTGTTCTGCATCGATACGATGGAGGACGTTTAACTTATATGTTAAGACTACATCGATACGATTTTGAAGAGTGTTTGTATGGCTTCAAAATTGGTGTTGCTGTAAACTTTTCATATATGCTTTTGGGAGGAACACTTGGTGAGTTTTGTTGAGCTATTAACTGTATTATCAGCCAATTTTTTCCTCTGTACAATTTTTCTTAAAAACTACTAAAAAACTTTTTTGAATAATATTGCTGTCAACCAAAATTAACTAAATTTACATTATAAATTTTATATAGTATAATATTTCAGCTGCTCTTTGTCTGGTTTCGGTTATCCTCTGCTGCAAACAATTTTGTAGGCCATTTAGGTATTGACAATACGATGTTACTCAACCTGCCTGTAAATCCTCAATCTATAAAAATTCCCCTAACATCTTCCCTTTTATGGAAGAGCCAACGTGTTTTATGCAATTTTTCACTGATAGTTTGCTAATATGACAGAGGGCATTTTTGAAAAACGGGTTAAATGAATTGCCAAAATCCCACTTGACTTTTTTAATTGTTGTTTTTTTTTTACTGAGCTTTTCAAATTTACAGTCTCCCATAAATTTTATCACTTGATCTACACTGATGTCACCCAATGATCTTGTTAATCTTTCTAATAAACTGATTATTTTTGACAGCACAAAAACAAATAAAGAAACTTTCTTTTCGAACAGTATATATTGTACCTATCTTGTGGTCCTATCCAATTTTGACTGAACAGTTAATTCGTCGTCAGATTTGCTTTTGAAGCCAAAAAGAGGTGCTAGATTTAAAGAAGCTCATAAACGCTGCTTCTGAACCATTTTTTCGTAATTTTATTCAAAATGCAATTCAATGTGTTGCCTTTGCCACAACTATGATCTTACGGTAAATGGAATGAAAACCCATGAAACTTTAGAGATCATTATGATGTTTGCAACGTAAATAATGTAGGAAAGTAATAATATCAGAACCGACTAATCCCGATAAAGACACTGATAATACTCAACAATTTCTGCAGCACAGCTAACTGGTGAGTGTAGTAAGTAGTGAATCATCAGACAGAAGGTATAATAAACTTTAAAAAAAAAAAAAAGGAAAGGAACGACTAACTTCAAAGTTCAGATTTACTAAGATTTTTGCCAGGAGATCAAATATGGCGGACTGCAACTGAATGCTTAGCAAACAGCTCCATCATAATTGAAGTCTATCATTCGTTGCTAGATATATACAACTAATAAGATTATATAAGTGCTTTCCTTCTTCCAATATTTTTGTAAAAAGCTGAATTGAAGTTTTCAAACATAAAGCTATAAAGTTTAATCTCTCAAAAAAAAAAATTGCTGAAGCATTTTCGATATCTGAATGAAGCGCTAACTTATTCTTTCCTGTAGACAATTCCGTGATATGGGAAAGTCAATAGCACTTATAGTTTTACAGATATTGCTAAAAATATAAAAGCAGTATGATGCTATGCAGGTAAGTGCAAAGAAGTGAAATAGCGTTTTGTAAATAAATATGAATCACTGCTGAACAGAATTTTCACACGAGGGACAAATTCCAAAACAAAAACTTTTCTTAGGTTATAAAAAACGAACAGCTAAGAAGCTACCAAAGTTTAACCACTATGATTCATATACGCCACAACTTCAGTCGATCATTAATTACTATTGAAGAGTAGGAGAATCATTTGTATCCCATATAATATGAGTTTTTGTGGACAAGTTGTTTTTTATGCCCGTTAGTTGGTCAAGCAGTTTATTAATCTGTTAAACAAGTAAATTCAGCTAACAGAAACTGACTTTTCTGAAGTAGTGTACTCTTCTGAGGTAGTGTTTAGCAACAACGAAGACGCGTGAAGGACACAGATGTCGAGTCAAGGCTCGGGCAGAGGCAATATTTACGAGAACTGAGAAAACAATTGTGGCATAACCACTGAGCTATTTAGTAAGAAAATTCTACGAAAGCGAAAGGCTATAAAGCTCTGCATACAGTACGTAAAGTTCTATCCTAAAATATCTAGTTAACAGAAATCAAAATAATGTTACACAATGGCACCTCTGGACAAGATTCATCTCGCGAGGTACAAGAAATGACTATATCAACCCGTACCAACGGGTCTAGACTTCAAAATAACAACTTAGTGAATTACACTTTGGTCAGGAAACTGTGAGTAATTATTGCCAGATAAAGAACCATTGTCATCAGCCTTATGTTCGTATGATTTCTTTGCTTCTAAAAGTGATGCCAGTTCAGCTCATTCAATATCTCTGCTTCATTTTCTGCATTTTCTTGATGACAAGAATGCAAAAGATTATTAAGAATGTTAACAATACAAAAAATTTGAATGATCCAATAAATTTCATAAGGTGTCGAGATTAGAGACTAGTTATTTCAAGACTAGCTCCGCACGCTCAGCATTAATGTTTCAACTCAGTCATTAATCGACTACGAAGATTTGCGTACAGTTTTTGATGAAGCTAAAGCTTATTGTTCGTGATTTCCTGAAATTTCTCGTACTTATGCGGCCTCAAAGCCACAGTTGAGCCTGTGTAGCAGATTTTTGTAGGATACGACTGGCATGCATTAAAATGACACTGTGATAATCAGAAGAATGCATAAAATGTTTTTTAAACTGGGAAAACTACTATTTTACTGACCTGAAAAGTACATATTCAGTCTCCGGCAGCAACTAAACTATTCCCGTCATCAACTTCAAACAGCCACCACTGTCGCTAACAACGCTTCTACAGGGCAGGTTCAACGACTATCTCATTCCCAGCTTGAGGGTGAATATGTACTTTTGGTTTAATTCACGAGCATTACAGGCAGTATAAGACTGAACTTTAACACCAACTTCCATATCGTTTGTCTGGCATATCTGAATCTTTTAGCTACCGGTATTTTAATGAACGGTTCGATAGATCATTCCTCACGGCATACTGACTTTACTTTTTACGGAAAGCAAGTTAATTTTTCTGAAAACGACCGCTAGTATTCAGAAACTTTCATTTTATGCCTGTTCTTGTTTTGAACTAAAACTGCAGCAGAATCGTTTACCGGCGACTACGGATCTAAAGACTTCTTGCTGTTGGCAAACAATGGTATTTCTAAACAGAGTTAACAGGTTAGTAAGGACGGAGACCGGAAACGGCTATACCCTTGCTTGGCTATACTTACAAGAACTGCTGCCGTACGCAACGCACGAATGCGCTCGGGCGGCCATGCGCTCAAAAAAGACGGCGTTTTTTGGTTGCAGTTGGTTCGGAACTGTTCACTGCAAGAGATTCGGCCGTCTGATTGCTGGCAGTGTTGGAATTTATCGGAGGTGGGATGATATTTGTATCATGTTAGTATTGTTTTATTTCTTTCTCATTACCAGAATTGATTATACATAAATCGTTGGAGCATTAGTGCCCTTGTTATTTTACGTTCTTACTGCTTTACTGTTCGCCGTGGATCCTGTGGGTGACGATGGCATCATTAGATATTGTCGAATATTATAAAATAACTAATATGCGCTTTTGTTTTCATTTCAGAAACCCATATTTTAAAAGTCTTATGTCCACCATAGTGGCATTGCTTATATTTTTTTCTTTTCGCCATACCAGTCGTATGAAGCATCTCATAGTTGTTTTTGGCAGCTTTTTGTTTAACAGCACTCCCATTTAATCCAAATTTTGCTTGACGAAAATTTTCAATTTTTTTCAAGTACGTTGTTGCTTGAACGGTAGCTCCTTAAAGTATTTGTCTTTCTGACATTATGAGCGTTGGACTTTTTACAATTCGTTATCATTTCTGACAGTTGTCGATCGATCCAACATTTGCGCCTAAAAGGCTGCATTTGGTCTTCATCGACGGTCAAAATGAATAGAGGAAAATTAAGGACTGCTTAGAAGTTGAACTAAATTTTGACAAAATGTACCGGATTAATATGCAGCAGTTAAGAGGCAATACTTGCATCAGTAAATACTAAAATGAGAGCATGGAAGTGGGGAGAAAAGAAGAGGGGGGGGGGGTAAAAAATTTTTCTGCACCAAATTCATACTTCCGAGACAGAAGAGTCGATATAGAAAAGGAAGATTTTGCACATTGATCAGATTATGTTTGGTAATATTTTGTGCTAGTGGATCTCCTATTATTTATAGACAGGTAGAGCTTTCTGATAAGGAGTTTGGTAGAGTAAAACTTATAAAAAACCAGGTCAAAATGTTAGGCTTTGTTCCGTCATTGTCATTGGATCACTCTCGGTAATTACGCCCAAAAGCGCCTTAAGTGTTCGGCGTAGCATATTTTCATCTTCTTCATAAGGCTAAAACATGAGGCTTTCAACGTTAATTAACAGTCGCTTTACAATTCCAAGACTATATGTAAAAGTTTTTCTTTAGTAACCAAGGAAAGCACGCATGGATGTGATTCTTTGTTATTGCGCTTTGTTTTTGGACTTGTAAACCGGGCTTAACACTAAAACTTCTTTTATTAATTTTCTTAGGAGTATATTTGTATGAAGATTTTTTTCCATTTTATTTCATTATTTGGGATATTTTCTACTGTTGGGTATTTCTTTTCAAAAATGCTTATTTGTATAATTTGATTTCATTTAATTTTCAGTGTTTAATCTGGGCGAATGGAAACAGTCCAAAAGAAGAAAAAGCAGATATCGCCAAAAACCATACCGTGGGAACCTTACAAAGTAGTTTTCACTTTCGACATAGCAATGTGACTTTTTGCAAGCCACTGGATGCAGGTGTTTTAATTAGTAGATTTTGTGGAAGACAGTATAGGTCGTGTAACGTAAGGTTAAGTTGTAATAGAGATTTAAATACTTCAAAATGTTGAAGAGGGCTACGTTTATACAGCTTGGTAGAATTTTACGAAAACGATTTATTGAAGAGGTGTTTTTTCCACTGGGCTTTACTTATTTTGCATTCTACATCTAGTTAGCGGTTCTGAAACTGTGTCGTTCTTTAAAAATCAGTTTAATGTTTGTTATATATTTGTTTTTGACCTTTGAAGTCTAATTGTGGTATTTAGGGGGCAACCTTTGCACGAAGTAAGGGGAGCCCTCCTACATCCTTACCTCCGCTAATTCCCTATCGTATTAATCCGACTTGTAGAGCCAGTGATGTTGAACTTCCCCCGACTGTATCAACGCCGATCTCTCCTTTGAGTCAGTTCGAATAATATTTAAGTTCGATCTTTTTTGGTTTTTTTTTTCAGTGGTTTTTTTGACGGAGATGACCTTGAAATGGTACTATTTATCTCTCTTTATTTTTAAAGATTTTAGAAGAAGATTCAGAACAGTTGAACTTGTCTCCTGTAATTAAGAACGTCCGGGAAAAAGATGTCAAGGGTGAAGGAGAGATCAATACAAAAGTATTAAACAGTGCGATCAAAGATGATAAAATTGAGGAGTTACGTCAGGAGCTTGATGTAAGTGCTTTTAATATGTCTTTTTTTTAATTTGCTAGCATATTTTTTTGTAATATACTTCGCTGCTCTAGGAACACATGCTTTGAGTTGCTGGGGTTGGCACCTGCTCAGGAAAATAATTTAGTAGCGTGTTGAAAAGAGATTTGTTTTAGTAGATTCGTATTCAAGGCTTTAATCTTTTATTTTTTAGGCAGAGCGGCAGCTAACTACTGAACTCAAAAAATTGCTCGTGGCTTCAATGGGTGATGATCTTACCTGTCATATTCAAGCACTGAGTGAGGACAAGGTGCGAATGGCCTCGAAAATGAATAGTTTTGCTGCACAGGTAGTAAGTTCTAGTGTTTGGTGTGAAAAAATTGTTATTCTGTCGTAAAAAGATGGGGATTTTAAATTTTTTATTTTCACTTTTTATTTTTTACTTCTTAGTGCAGTTCGGATTCTTCGCTTCAGAATTTGTATTGGTTTTTTTATTTCGCATTTTCATCTGTTGTCTGCAAACAATTTATTAGTTTTAGTCAAGTGTAGACCACAGTAGAGCAGAGGACCTTCAGATAATGTCAGACATATGGAGGTGTAAATTTCTTGCCATGAGTGTGCGTGCGGACGAACTCAGTGCGTCACAGGCTCGTTTATTATCTCATCTAAAACGGGAACATCAGGCTTTAGAAGAATTAATGGTTGCTATCCAGTCTTTACCGGCTAGTTCTATTCCTAAGCCTGTCCTTTTGAAAGCTCAGTCTGTCTTATCTATAGACATAACTAAATTTTGCGAAAGGACCCCTTGCGACGAGAAAATTTGTAGACCTGGTCCTGTTACGTCTAATATCACGGTGTCGTGTTGTAGAAATTGTTCTAGCCATGAAATTAAGTTACTCTGATCTCATTTCATTTTTTTAGGCTTTGAGCGCAATTTTTTTGTGATTAACGGGGACAGCTTTGTGTTCTATCGTATGTCTATTTGAATTTCGATTAAGTAATGCTCACTCCTGTGATTGTCTTTAACTAGTTTTTTAATTTTATGTCTTTTTCATTTTCAAATAGTTTACAGGGGTTTGATTTTCGGAATGGATGTACCATTTGTATGTATAATATTGTATAATTTTTGCAAGACCAAATGTTACTCCAATTTTGCTTTATAATTTTTTAAAATTTGATTGCATTTTCTTTGGTGATGCGACATAGTTTACTGCTCGAATTGATATTTGTAACAGATTGTTAGGTACCTTGTGTTTTTCTTCTTAGTCTTTTGTTTCTAAAGAATTTTGTTGAAACTGCTAATACAGTTTTTTTTATTTGTGTTACTTTGCAGTTGTTTTTTGCTCTTTTGCTTTATTTATTTATTTATTTGTTTAATTTTGCGTCGTATGTGTAAGCTTGCTCATGTTTACTGAAAATTTTCCACTTTTATTTATTGATTTGTATAATTTGGTTAATTGGGATCTTTTAACTTAACTGGGAGTGACTAGTTTGAATTGTTTTGTGTTTGGACTGTAAGATGACATTTCTTCAAGTAGCTTGTTGTTTTTACTGATTTTTTAAGGGAGGTTGTGTAACTGTATGGACAGGTTAATTTTCTATTTATTCTTGTTGTGTTTGGGTCACTTCCAAATGACTAATTATTTAGTGTGAAACGGGGAACGCCTGCCGGGAGGCGCTTTGAAGAATCAGTCATTCATTTGCAGCGTGGATGCAGGCATATGGGTTTGAATAAAGTCCTGGTTATTTTAATAGTTTTGTTACTTTTTGTGTTCATATTGAATTTATTGAATCGACTGTGATTTCCAAAATCTGTCTGTCATAATTTGAAATAAAGATATTAATTTACCTTTACGTTTATTTGTTGGATGTGTTCAAGTACATCGAATTCCTTCTACCGCTTAGTTCCTTGCATTAGAAGTACGGGGCAAATTCCACAGTCATCATTTCTTGCAGCTTCATTGGTGTTTGGAATGTTTAAGCTTTTTTTTTTTTTTTTGGTGGGGTCGAGGGTGTTTTTGTGGTTTTGTTGTTCATTCTTTATCAGTTCTTCCGCTAATCAGGGCTGGATTGCGTATGTGGAAGTAGACTAGCATTCTATACCGGAAGTGATGATTATTTCGCAAACTTGCTTTCAGGGCTGTAGACAGTCAGGTTGGTCGAGTGATGAAAAGCTCTGGTAAGTGATCTCTAGGAAGCGTTATGATGCAAGGTAGCTCTAACGACGTTACGCTACCGTTAAGAGCAACAATTACTGGTTGGAAACTCGTTGGCAACCACGTTGTAAGTTTAAATGATTGAAGATGTAGTCGTTTTTTTGGCTTTAGGTGACTAGCGCAAATCTGACTGAGTAAACAGCTAAGGTACGAGGTTATTGTTTGAATTTAGCTGAAGAATTTGAAGTCTCTTTTTTGCTTGAGAGATTAGAGACGGTACCTTTTGTCGGACTTTGAACCATAGCTGTTGATGCGTAATTTATGCTTAGGATGTTTTAAAGCTGTTACCTCAGCAGGACAGTGGTTGTTATAAACTTTGTTCTTTTTTAATCATTGTTTTTATCTGATTTTGAACCTCTTCGGTGAATTTGGGGTTGCTTCTGGCGTCGCTTAGACTGGGCTGCTTTTTTAAAGCAGCCTCTTTGATGAAGGTTATGCAAAGTGACTGCCTCCTTAATATACTTCAGGAGTTAGCCAATGGCAAGACTTAATATGTGTTCATATTCCTATGTTGTAATTGTTTTTTGATAACTGTCTTTTATTTAGAACTAGTAGCATTTACAAGTGCAAAGAAGTGAATTAGCTTCGAGATTAGAAATGGGTGAATAATTTTAACAACAGCTTTATGAAAAGGGAAGGGAAGTATCTGTCGAAACGTTTTAGAGAAAATCAAGATGGGAAGTTGTTTTTTGATTTTTTTTTCTTCAGAAAGCTGTTTTTAGGAGTATGTTATTGAAGTGGAGAAGCTTTTAGAGAAGAAGGTCAGCCATAAAATCCAGAGACGTTACGCGGAATTCAGGTACGTATTTCACTCTGCCAGGATGCTTGCTGACCAACTACTTCCCATCATTTATTTGTTTTTTTGGTGACTTAAATATTCGTTTCAGTAGTTTAAGTAAAACTTTGGAAAAGTTTGGCATCAGCTTGGGTCTACCGCCAAAAAAAGTCTTCGGAAATCTGAAAGAAGAATTCATTGATAAACGAAAGGCGGCTTTACAGGTGCGTTCGGTCGTACAAATAAGGCGGCAATAAACTTGTGTAGGGTGATGTGAACGGAAAATGAAATGATGGATAATTCTAACTATTTTAGAAGTTTCTGGATGTGATATGTTCACATGTGCTCTTTTATGCGGGACATGCTGTCACTGAATTTCTTCGCCTTTATTATCCAATTGGTACGTTTCGGTGACGTTTTCCTTCAGTTTTTAGTTTCAATAAATGAATTTTACAGAACTGAAGGAGTGGACCTTGTTGAGTGTACGAAGTCATCCAGAATGGTTTGTTCATCAATATCGACCTTACTGTGGCTGGCGGGCTGAGAAACAGTACTTTGAAGTAGGTGGCAAAAAAAATTTGCAAGAAAGTTTAAACTTACATCATAGCAATCGAATTTTTTTTTAAATCTGTGCTTGGCTATTTTGACAGCGAACAGTGATAGTACATTGCTCTTTCAAAAACAATTTTCTTGTTTTATATTTTTTAGACTGATATTGCTTGTCTTGCATAGGTAACTTCTGGAAAGGCAACGTTTGTTCTGAGTAGTATTCGTTATGGTCCTGACCGCTGTGCTACGATGGATCAGCTGAACAGTGCATTGGACTTTATAAGGAATATAAACAACCCTCATTTGAAAGAATGTGTTTCTAGTTGGGCAGACAACAATGGAATTGTATTGGTTCGCCCTGTTTCATCATGCGGAACACTTCGAGATCGTCTGTATAAAGTTAATTCTTGAAGTTGCTGTCGAGATATGCAAGTTCACAGTTGACTTAGCTAATCTATTAATTCACTATTTTCTTTCCAGAGCGATTGGAGAGGAGATTTTTACGCAAAGTATAATGTTGAATTATCTGCGTGCTCTTTGCAGTTGACAGATGTAAGATTTATTTGTCGCCACGTGCTTGAAGCCTTGCTGGTCCTTTGTGCTTTGTCGATTCCCTTCCGTAAGATAATTCTCATTTGTTTGGGAATGGCATGGTGCATCGTATAAAAATAGCACTGTATTTCAGTAGATGTACATAGCGGTAATGTCTTAGTCACGGATGAAGGGTGCGAATTGATCGATTTTGATCAGGGTATTCTTGCTTTCAGCATTAAGTTTATTTTGTGGGGCTGTGGAAAACATTCTAATCTAATTCGTCCCAATACTAATAGTAAATGGTTACAGTGTTGGCAGGCCAACCGAATATTCACCGTCCATCAATGTTGAAAAATGCGGCAGTTAATGTAATTCATTTTCTTTCTCTCATGTACTGGTACCTTTCCTTTCATTCATCTAAAAAATTATTTTGTTCTTTTTTTTTCTAGAGCATCGAGGATATGATGGTTTTTTCCTTTGGAGAATTTTTATTCGAATTGCTCACTGGATTTTTCTCATTGCCAATGGAAGCTTTGAACGATGAGATCGATCTAGTACCAGACCAGTTTAGTATGTTTTGCAATTAAATTTCTATTTTTTTAGATTTTTAATTACTTTTGCTAATCCGCTTTTCCTACAGGGCCGCTCTTGAAATCCATTTTTCTTTCCGAGAATCGCAAGCTACCTACTCTGCTGGAAGTTGCAAGTTCAGAGTAAGCAGTCGTTTGAATAATCCATCTCGGTTGGTAGTTTTTTAGCCAAACAGTGACAGAAAATTTCTCTGTTCCTTTTACTGACAACAGTTAGTCCGTGCTGTCAGTGGCAAGTAAGCAATCAACAAGTGAATTTTATAAAACTTTTAATTTTAAATCGTTATTTTTTTTATTCTAGAAAGGTTTTCATGTATTTCTTAATTTTTTTTCTAATAGTTAAGTGGCATGTGGTGCTTCATTTTTTTGGGGAACAAAGGTAAATGTTACCACTTTTTAGGGTAGTACATAGTATGGACACCGTACACTAGAACTGGGCTGCCAGTAGCTTTCTGGATATTACTACCTGTTTAAATAAATTAAAAGAAAGTACGGAGGCAGACTGGCTATTTTAGATGAGTGAGAGTTAAAAATTATGTTTGGACAGGTAGTTGTGCAGGAGTGTAGGTGTTGTCTGAATTGAGGAATGGATGGTCGGTGAAACAGTGGGCAATGTGGAGCAGGAACAGTTAAGGCTGTATGTCAACCTGACATAGTTCCGATCTTAAAACTCAATTATATTAGGCGCAAGGTCGTAATTCTGGTTTGAAATGGATTTCTTGCTGTTAAGCTGAACCAAATGCGTTTCGCTGGTGTTAAAACAGTGCCACATTTTTTTAATATTATAAATCAAAAACTAAAGTAGTTCCAGTAGAAGATTTTCCGCAAGGTCCCTATTTCGTAAATAAACTTTCATAGACCAAAGCTATTAGAAACTCCCAACTGCACAACTTCCACTGAGCTTGAAAATGTCTTTTCAACAGTTCTGGCACATTTAAAGAAATGGAGTTATATGTTAGTGAGAGTTAAAAGGTTTATATATATATATATATATATATATATATATAT